AGACAATGGTTGAACGTCAAGTATCTGATGCTCTAGGAAATCTCAGAGCCAACAAGGAAAAAGGAAACATCAATCACAAAGAAGAAGAAGTTGGTCAGGTAGCACATACCTATGAGGAATTCATCAACAGTAAACCAAGATCTTTCTATGGATATGAAGGAGTAAATGGTTTAATCCACTAGATAAAGGAAATGAAGACCAAATGTTCCACGAAATGTTGGGTTAAGTTTACAACATGCACATTCATGGGAAGAGCTCTCATCTGGTGGAATACCCAAGTTAAGACTTTAGGCGTAGACACAGCCTATGTACTCTCATGGGAAGAATTAAAGAAGAAAATGATAAGTTTTGTTTTGAAGGAGACATGACCCGAGTTGACATCAATTCAATCATTTAAGCACAAGGAAATCAAGTCTACCCATCTATACCATGCGCTTTGAGGACATAGCCACTGTATACCAAGAATTGATCGGCTCAGAGAGCTAGAGGACTGAAGCAAACCTTCAAGGGCTAGCTCCCTAAATTAGAAGAGCGATATATGCAACCTAACTCGATACCTACATAGAAGCTAAACGCTTAGCCTTTAACTTGAAGGAATCGGTGATCGAGAAGAAAGCATTGAACTCAAGCATGACTAAGAAGAGAGTCAATGGACTTAGGAAGAAATGAGAAGGAAGTCCAAAAGGAGAACTCAGTCGGCCTTCTTGTAAGGAAGGAGACAATAGAAGATACCGAGAAAGAACACCAACACCACCAAGAGGATAATTGGGAATGATCCCCAAGTGCAATAATTGTGGATTTCATCATCAGGGAAACTATGAAGAATTTATGTGCAACAACTGCGGTAAAATAGGACACATCGCGAGTTCTTGCAAAATCCAAAGAAGTTAGTAGAAGGAAAATACTAGAGTTAGGAATTTGAGAATAAGAGATTTAGGGAAATATCCAGTAAAATAATTTATATAATGCTTGAAAAAGGATTGGCAATCCTTAAAATTGCACTTATATATATATATATATATATATATATATATATATATATATATATATATATATATATATATATATATATATGGAAGGGTTATTTGGAAAACAAAAAAACCCTAAAAAAACCCTAAAAATTATAAAAATGCATAAAAAAATACCAAGACATCACAAAACTTTTTTTTGAAATTTTTTATCAAAAATCGCATCATTTTTTACAATTTCGCTGAAAAAAAAATAAAAAATTACAAAAAAAAAAAAAATTTCAGCGATTTTTACCTAAAAGTTGCGATTTTTTGATAAAAAATTGAAAATTTTTTTTTGTGATCTCTAAGTATTTATTTTATGCATTTTAATGATTTTTTGGGTTTTTTTATGGTTTTTTGTTTTCCATATCTATATATATATATATATATAATATATATATATATATATATATATAGATATATATATATATATAAGTGCTAGGGTTAGGTTATTTTGTTCTAACTATCTATTGTGTGCATTTAGGATTGATTCTGGACCAATCATTTTAGTTATTTTAATAAAGTAATTAATGCATATTACATGTTGAAGATATAATGAGTATTAATTAAATCTTCAGCATTTTTATATATATATATATATATATATATATATTATATATATATATATATATAAACTAGTTTATACCCCGTGGGAACCACGGTTAAAAAATTAATTAAACTTTCATAATAAAAATTTATAATTATTAATCAATTTTTTTATATAAATCATCTTAAGTAAATTATTAATTAAGAGAAAGATCAAAATTTTAAAGTTATTATAACTTCAAATTTAACATATAATTAGAAAATGGAAATTTGAATTTTGAAATGAGTTGCATAATATATCCACATGACAAATGACATAATATTCATGAGGACTTGTATTAGAGTGACAGTTGGCACAAGTAGATTAAAACTATTTATTTATTAGAATAATAAATATATATATAGTTAGGTTCATGTGTAAATGTTAAATATTGTATGAATGTATAACCAATTATGGAGCAATCGTTTGATAGGGTTAGTTTAATAATTTAGTTAATTATCTTATTTAAATCCCTATGTTTATGGAAATAATTGAAATTCAAAATCAAATCGCTAGTTTTATGGAAAGAAATCATCTATTATGCAGATTACGCTCTTTCCACCATTGTTATTCCAAGCACCAATAAGATATAACCACCATCGACTCCTATTCATAAGCAATCGTCAACTCATATTCCACCATATACTATCGTTTACCATATGCACGAAATCTCCAACACCAAACACCATTAGAATCCTCCTACTTAGAACAACAAACGTCCGCCAAGCCCCCTTCAAATCCACCATCGCCCGTATTCTATCTTCACATCTTCATCTGCATCCATGCCTTCTCCAAGTTACTATCCAAAACCACCGCCAAAACACAATAGTGCTCATCATATCTTCACAGTCGTACACCACCATTATATCCTTTCCATACAAACCTTGTTTAATGAAGGTGTATCGAGTCCTTGTTTCCGCTAGAATAAACAGACCAGAAAAAGATAGAGAGGAGAGGTACATACGTTTTTTTCAAGTGGCCGAATTCTTAAAGAAATGCGTTCTTCAAGCTTTCTTAAAAAATGCTTGAATTCTTCAAAAGCATTTCATGAATCTTTAAATTCTTAAAGAATTATTCAGTTGTATAAAAATATGTGTAGTGTTACAGATCCACAAATCACACTTTCATCTCAAAATTTGAAATTTTCTTCTTCATTATCACAGAATGTAATACTTGATATACATTCTTGAATATGATATTTTATCTTTTCTTCTCTATTCTCTCATAATTCTTGATGAATGTTTGAATTCTTCAAGAATTATTTAGTTGTATAAATATATTTATAGCATTATACACCTGCAAATCACTTTTTATGTCAAAATCTGGAAAAAAAAAATCTTCATTCTTGCAGAATATACTTGATTCTCTATTCCCTCAGAATGTACATTCTCACATACCTTTATTTTTCTAATTCATTCTCAAAGCATGTATTTGATGCAAACGATTCATCAGATTAATTCAACAAGGACAAAAATGGATACAACCATGTTATGGAATATCAACATTGGCGAGAATGTTTTTGACATTGCTGTAAATTATCGAGAATGTACTTTGTTGATAATGTTTATTATAGTGTCTCCATTTTTATCTATATATAATTATAAAAGTAATTTGAGAATGATAAGAATTGTTGCCGGTGTATGTTACTTCAATTTCCCTAAAACAGTAACAAGCATATAACTGTATAAGTAGGTTTGGAGTCATGAGGGAATTAAATGGTGTATTGCAAAATAACGGGAGTTTTACTATTTTGATTCAACTTAAAAGGTGCTATTTACAATTAATAACGTTTTTTTAAAAATTAATTACTTTTTTTCTTTTTGATTACAATCATGCCATTAACAATCCTAACCATCTAATGGCTATAATTTGGTCATACATTCATACAATACATATGATTCATATATATATATATATATATATATATATATATATATATATATATATATATATATATATATATAATAACCGTTTACCCGCGCTAAGCGACGGGTGTGAATAAATTTTTTCAAAAATGAGATTTTAGAGGCAATTCATTTTGTGCAAATAGTTTGCTACACTTAAACAATCATCCACACATGCATCATTGATATCAGCATGATCAATTTTACGTTTGCATGCTTATTTTTATATATCTTTCGTATGAATTTAATCACATATAATATGTTTTCATTCGACAGTATTTATTAGACTTAGTCTTCTTACATATGAATTTAATCACATATAATATGTTTTCATTCGACAGTATTTATTAGACTTAGTCAAACGTACTGACCTTATATATTCATTTACCAACAAATGCAACGGTATATAATTTTTATCAATACAAACGATGAAACTGAACTTACAAAACAAATTGATGTCACCGCAACGAATGATAGGCAAAATCCTAGTTAATATTGATTCAAATGTTTTTTCAACTTCTACTTTAAGTATTTAAACTAAGAATTATATTATTTTGTTACCAAACAAAAACATTTTTTTTAAGTAATTTACAATTTACTTAAAAGTTTAGCCTCCGAAAGACATTCTTAAATTGTATAATTACATTTTAATATTCATGGTATTACAACGTTTTTTTTTAAGAAAAAATAGTAAAGCTAAAAAAACATCAAAACAATCTCACTTGCTTCCGTAAGTCTCCTAAATATCAATTGCTTCCATTAGAACACCTGAAAAAGTAAGGGTTCAAATAAGCATATTCTGGAGTCGGATTAGAAAGAAGTATTTATGTTAAAGATTATATACCTCTACATCTTCTTGACCTATCAAAAATATTTAAAAAACAGCAAAATAATTCATATTTTTTCTCACACTCAAGTTATAATTGGTGTACTTATGTGTGGCTACTAAAAGAAATATACAATTATACAACTATTTACCAATAATAACAATATACTTTCTATGTTTTACCAAAAAAAGGCAATATGTAACAACTAATAGCAATGTATTTACAATGTATACAGGACCACTGATCCATTGATGGATCATGTGCTATTAGCAACACACTAATATCAATATACTTACACACTAATAGTAATATACTTACAATCCACTTATATGGAACCGTTATTTTTTAATCGAAAAATGGTTTTATTACCGGATTTTCTAAAAAACCCGAACCAAACTGATTTTTAAACCTAGAAAAACGATTTTTAACACAATATCACTTACCTTGATCAATAATTGTAAAGTAGCCCTATATCATCATATGTAATTGGTTGTAGTGCATCACCAACTTTCTTGTTTTTTAAGATTTCAAGATTTTGGATGCAAGGAAACGGATATTTGCATCATGTCAATAATGTTCTTGATTATCTTATGCATATGTTATGCTATGTCTTTGAAACCGGTTCAAATAAAGGGCCAACAATCAACAAAACAAAATGAATAGAGGACAATACTTAGCTTGCTAGAAGAAACTGAAATGGATTAGTAATGATATGAGGATGGCTTGAGTCAATACTTAGCTTTCTAGAAGAAATTATCAACTTCATCTTCTCACCCACCTGCAACAAATTTTTTCTTAATTGGTTAACATGGCATAAAAAGAAAACAGAAAAAATTATGTCAAATTTATCAACCTCATGTTCTCACCCACCATTCAAACCTACATGATAACAAAAAACATTTGATTCTAAAGTACCGTTGTTGGCTTAATCTAAATTTACACAGAATCAACGATATTAATGTTAGGGATAATGACGAAAATATAGTGGGTTTTTCATCACTATCCCTTAATGTTAATCAAGTATTTTCTGTAATTACAGAATTATTACTGATATGATGATCAAGTTTTATATAAAAGATTGTACTAGGTTGCATCTTTCTTCTCAAAAAACAGCAACATACATACAAATTGCACCCATACAAACAATGACATGCACTAAGATCAGCACGCAGAAACATACACATACACGGACAACAAAATATGGCATTTGTAGTGGTGTGTGGGTGTCTGTAGCCGGTTGAACGCAGAGCATGGATCAATTAATTTGGTCTTTAGATATAGGTGTTTAGGGTTAGAGAGTTGGCAGTGGGCGGCTAAAGGTGGTGAAAACCATGAAAAATAAAGGAAAGTACAATGACTTATAATGCAAATACTGTCACACATAAACATCCAGGTTGGGATTTCTTAGTCAGAACTATCACCTGCAATAAAAAAAATACAAATTAAATAAAATGTATCTATTTTTTAAGATGTCCAAAAATCCTCTCATGTCACAGTTTAATGTCATACCTTTGCCCATCCATCTAATACATATATGGTGCCTTTTCCAATCACCCATTACATGGCTTGTCTCCAATGTATTGAGTTGCACATATCATAAACTTTTCATTTTTCAAAGAGACTATTATATTTAACAATGAAGGGAGAGTAGTTAGTAGTTACATTTATTAAATAATTAATCGCCTGTTATCTAAAAAAAATTAGGTTGAAAAGAACTTAAACTGTAAGCCACCAATCTGGCTTCTTTTACAGCAACCATTATATCAAATTTGACACCTTTCCTTTAACAAAATCACCCCCTTATTTTACACCCTTATTACTGAGTGTTAATAAAAAAGAAAAACAAAAAATTAAGTGGAAGAAAGTTCTTACATTTGGAACTTGAACAAGGACCAAAGATACTAAATTGAATCGACAAATCAGAACCAACCTGAAAAGAAATGATAGAAATTGAAACATTACTTAATAGATTGAAAAGAACTTCAACTGTAAGCCACCAATAGTCCAAATATATTAAGAAGAACAATAAGTCCACCCAACATAATAGGAAAATACAGAGAACAACTCCAGCAAAAAAACATCCAACACTCCATGGGATCACCACCGCCAAGTATTAGCAAACATCACACCAGCAAGGAGGAAAAACATACATACCCCTTATGTTTTTCAAACCAAATTTGATGAAAAACGGCTTCCACTTCCTTTGACTCACCTTCCCCTGTGTCTTTATAAACTAAGAATAAAATAGAATCAACAAAAAGCACAAAATCTTCGTACGATCGAGAGAAGAAAGAACATAAGAGAGAGAGAGAGAGAGAGAGAGAGAAGGGGAGACGTTCATCATTAATGTAATTACCAAACAAACCCAAGACAAAAATCAGTAAAAAGGTTTTTGCTTTCAAGACCTATAATCACCACACACACACACACAATTAGAGAGAGAGGGGGGGAGAGAGAGGTTGTACATCACCATTTATTTTCTTGAAACTTATAAAAGAGAATGGAAATCTGAATCAAACCCTAGCTTTCTCTAAATATGGATTGATCAAACCTCGTAGAAGGTCGCCCACCCAAGTTCTAGAGATAGATTTTTCCATCGACAGGGAAGGCAGGCAAGAATGTCAAATTTTGTGAACCTGTATCAAAATCAGATGATGTACATCAATTTATACATCAACGACAGTGGAGTCGTGGGAGGCGTTGGTGGTCAAGATTTTTCTAAAATACAGACGATGTGGGTAGGATGTGATAGCAGTAGTAGTGGTTGTAAATAGTAGTGGGGGAAGGAAATCGAGGCAGCGACGATTCTAAAATTGTGGTGTGAGTTATTTATTGTAGGCGATGACATGGTGGTGCTAGAAACGACAGGGCATTTAGAAAGTCTAAGGTAGAATTTGATTAGGGTTGTTCTTGGAGAGGGTGGTGAATGGTGGTGTCGGCTGGTTGAAGAAGCATAGATGTTATATAAAGCGTAGTGGTGTTAAACCGGATAAGATGTGATTTTTTTAGAATGTATAAAGTTGTTGTATAACTCGAATCTGATGTTGTAACTTTTAATTTTCAAGAAATATGTTTAATGATATAGTAAATATATATATATATATATATATATATATATATATATATATATATATATATATAAAGAGAGAGTTAGGTTCATATATTACCTTTAATTATTATGTGAATGTGTCGCTAGTTCTTAACCAATCATTTGATAAGAGTAATTTTGTTATTTTATTATTTAAATTAATTATTATTCATATATAACTTCCCTGCAATTATGGTAACTTATTGTTAATTGCCTATAATTATGGCATCGAATAAAATTAACCTTAACCTTGACCAAATCTTTACCACCATCAACCATTCTCCACCCTTTGCACCGTCCTCAAGACAATTACCAATATGTAGCACCTAGATTCCTTCCAGGCCTACCTATATCGTATGTAGTTTATCTCCACTGATAAAACAAATACAACCTTGTGTACAACCATCTGATTCCCTCAGCCGACCTTCCCTCAGGTAAGATTAAAGATTATCCGGTGAACTATGCATTAATTCCATCATTTTGGTATGTGACAACCGTCAATTACGAGTCAAAGTCAAAGTCAACAAGTCAAAGTCAAACTCAACAAGTGAAGTCGGTCAAACTTAACTAGTACTTCTATGTTAAAAGTTATTCTATGAAAATGTGCATTTGTATGTCAAGAATTCAAGTGTCTGGGAGATTTTATGTGTTAGCAATGTAAAACCCTAAGAACGGAGTTAAATGCATCAAAACACGACTATAGACCCTTTTGGGGACTTAAAATAATCATAAACGAAGCATAACGGGGTTCACGAACCTTGCATTGCGAGACTTTACACTAATATTGACTAAAATCAAATCTCTCCCAAATCTCTCCTAAATCTCTCTCAAAATCTCTCTCAAATTTTTATAGTCATCCAGGTCATCCCGACCCTTAACTTGGCCAAAAATCACTCAAAACGGGAAGTTTACTTGAAAAACAGCCATATAGGACCAAAACCCTAATGAAACCGAGCCTCTTGGAAGCGAAACCCTAAGAAGCGAAACACCTCATTTGGATCGAAGCTTCTTATGACCGAACTGCTTAGAACCGAAGGTCCCCTTCAGAACCGAACTTAGCCTCGGACCGAACCTCCATGAGGACCGAAACCAGTCTCGGATCGAAGCTCATAAATTACCGAAATGAACCGAGCCTTCGGTCTATTTCGCTTCATTCTGACCTTCGGACCCGAACTCACCTTCGGACCCGAGCCCTCCTTCGGTTCCTTCTTCCCACTCTCAGTCCTCAACTCCAAGAACCGAACCTTCGCAGGTTCGCCCCTTCTTGTCCGGTTTTCAACTACTTTCGCATGTTAAGCCCGTTTTTGACGTTTTTGACGGGGATTTTTCACCAAATTCATATTTTTATCATTTTAAACCCCCTAAACTAATATTCTATTCATATCTCAAGGATTTATTAGTTATAAATCATTATTTCATTAAGAGAAATATCTAAGAATATTCTACCCCACAAGTTGGTCAAGTGTGCCCACTTGCCTCTATGTGTCACCTTTTCATTAGTCCAATCATATCCACATCACACAAACCAAGGCAAACATCCTCTCAACCTTGCAAATTGCTCCAGCAACTTTCTATATAAGGAGATCCATGGAGGATTTCTTGAACTTCCTTGATCATTTCCTTCACCATCAAACACTTTTACACTTCTCTTACCCTTCAAGAAAACTTCCTTTCTCTCTACTTCCAGCCACTTTTAAAGGTGTTCTTGAGCTATTACTTCACTTTTTGGTAAGTATTTCATTTAAACTCAAGTGTTATTCCATGTTTTCATAACATCCTGGAATCATCTACCCACATTTTAACACCAAAAATCGTTCTTAGGATCATCCAAAATTTCACGTGTTCATCAAGTGTTCTTGACTTGATACTCCTCGTCTTCGACCTTCCACTCTTCAAAAGTCACTCAAGGTGAGCTCATACCCCTACATTTTCCAGTTTTCTTTAGTTTTCAGGGAGGGGGAATACAAGTTAAAACACCAAAACATATTTAAAACTTAACTTGACAGCTTACAACAGAAACGTTGTGACCTGTTCACGAACTGTTTTACCCAACTTAAACTTAATATTTTTCAAGACTTTTTAATATTAAAATATTTCAGGTTTATACCTTTAAAATGACTACTTGCACATCTCCATACGATGTTTCTACAATTTATGGAGATTTTTACAAAACTGCCTATCACTGCAGTAACAAAATGGGACCAAACTGTGAAGATGAACGTTTTCACACTGGTTTGAGACCACCAAAAATTATAGGGAAATTTATGAATACAGTAGACTCTTTTTCTAAACTCTCCGAGTTTACGGATTCAGTTTTTGACTTACGATGATTTTTCTATAAATATTCTAAAACAGGGACAGTTAAGGGTAAAACTGTCCAAACAAGTTTAAGAGTTATTCATACCTTGTAACATGTTGAGCAAGGTGTGTAAGATTTACACTTAGTAATTTCAATGACATTTTTATTGAAATACAAAGTCATGCATATCAAGGTTTCATTAAATCATAAAAACACACTTGATAAACTATAATAGGTATAGTTTGAACACCTCGTTTAACAAAGAAACGGTAATACAATCGATTTACAAAACGGGTATTTCATTACAAACTACGTGAACTTGTTAATGAATAAACTCATGAGACATTCACCTTCGGGGTACTATTAAGTACCACAGAAAAGTCTTGTAGTTATAACCAGAATCTTTTGTAGGGAGAGCGTGATAGTTGTGTATAGATCTATATTGGGTCTGACGAACCCGAACCTAAGCTGCTTGCAACAGCTAGACCGGCAGGTATTGGGTGAAAAATGTCATAACATTCCGACGCCTGAAGAACGTCGAGTGCGAGGCCTTCGAGTTTTAGCATGGTTATAACAACTCACATGGGGAATTAACAAAACACACAGTTCACGGGGATTTAAGAATTCCACAAAAAGGAGTTTTATTTAAATATAAAACCACACATAAGTATGACGATTTACTTACATATACTAAGTCTTGGTTCAGTTAAGACTACAACAAACCTTTTAGAAAATATTGGATTTTCTGGAAACAAACTTGTAACAAGCTTTAAGGAACAACATCCATTTTTCATTTATAAATTGCTTATGAACTCACCAGCTTTAATGCTGATACTCTTTCAAAAACAACTTGTATTCTCAGGTATTCAGTAATACAGGTAACCACAAGATTTTTTTGAAGGCAAGACGCTAAGTCGCCGATTTTTGCAATATTTTGTCATCATATGTAATTTATTTGGAAACATGTATTTTTGCAACGATGTAACCTTTTAAATTATATTTATGATGGTTGTGTTTACTTTCTTCACTATGGTTATGATACTGAGCATGACGTCCTCAGCCCCCGAACATTTCCGCCGTTCCGGTTTGGGGTGTGACAGATTGGTATCAGAGCTTTGTTTATAGTGAACTAAGTATATCAAACCACGTAAGATATACAAACTATAAATACAACAGGACAAAAATTCTCTAAAGTAACTTTTCAAAAGTACTTTAAAAATAAAAAAATTTGTATTTTTATAAAAGTATACGTACAATCACACTCATTAATTCAGTATCATAATGGCAATAACATAAAAGTATTGAGACAAGTTGGACACCATGATCTAGCTTCGGGGTATGTAGTCAGATCTTGGATGAATATAACCTGATCAACTATATTTAGCCAAGGTATGACCAACGTATGCCGAAGAAGAATCATGATGAGCAACAAGTCTTCAACTTACCAAAAACCTCGAGAATCAAACAAAAAATACTATAGGAGTATTTTAACACAAAAACCGTAATAATCACATTATGAATTGCGATAACTGACTTCTTATACCGAAATTTCTCGCGATATCCTTCTTATCCCTATTCTCATACAGGCGTAATGGCAGGATTTCACTTGCCGGGTGACCCCTATTTCCCCAACCAAGGGAATGTCGGTTGGATTGTGGAAGACCTAGAGGTAGATTCAAAAGAGGAACTCATGGAAGCTGAAGAACCCATGGAGGATGAGGAACCCATGGAGGATGAAGAACCCATGGAAGAGGAAGAATCAGTAGACGGTGAAGAGGAAGAAGACTCAGATGGGACCGACTCAAAACCCGAGGTCTACGATCCACACCCTGTCCCTATCCCTCCGCAACACTTCCAAGGCCCGACGACCCGATGGGCCGAAACTATACATAGATGGAGCCGAGAGCAAGGTCAACGTCCTCCCTATGGCATGCAACGAGGTTTTTACGACCTCAGCAGAGGAGAATCAGCCGACAGAGCCCTTCCTATCATAGTTCACTGTGTCGCACGCCACGAGGAGCAAACAAGGATAAACACCCGCCACCTCATGGAAATTGGTGCCACCAGCCAAGTTAACTTCGTTCGTCTTCGCTGGTTGGATGATGACCACGATCGGACCCGAGACCGCACCGAGGTTCTTCGACGGGAAATGAACGCGACCCGAGCCGAAGTACAAGAGCTCCGAGAACACCGATCCACTTTAGAAGGAC